AGTTGTCACGTTATTCCCAACACAATCTTCAATCACAGTCCCTGGTCTCTGACTAGGTGATTGATCATGGAAATAGCCATTCGCTCTCTTTTTTCCGTTTTTTCCGTTTTTTCGTTTCTTTATGGAAATGAGACAGATGACTGAGTGATGGAAGAGCTCCTTGAAGATGTTTCTGTTGCTCCAACTCCAATTAGAGGGAATCCACTTCAGCAAACGCCAAAAGGTATTTACATGTGTCTATATTTATATATATGTATATATATACATACATATATATATATATATATATATATATATAATATATATATATATATAATATATGTGTGTGTGTGTGTGTGTGTGTGTGTGTGTGTGTATGTGTGTGTGTGTGTATGTGTGTGTGTGTGTGTGTGTGTGTGTGTGTGTGTGTGCGTGTGTGTGTGTGTGTGTGCTTCTCTTTTCTCCTTAATATTGATATAATATCTTAATGAAAGAGTGGTGGCAGCTAGTAATTTCATTCATCCTTATAGTTAAATTATTAATAATTCGGTCTTTGACTCCTAATACTTTATTGTACAGGTAAAAGCCCGATATTGGTGGCAGCGGTGGTTGCTTCCGTGCCTATTTATTGTTTTTCTCGGCTGTTGGGGAAAATGGTAGTAATTCCATGTGTTATAGTACTTGTTTTCTTCTTGTACTAGTAATATTTTTCTCCTCAGGTCTACGTGACCAGTGGAGGAGCAGATTAACATATCAATTGTGCTTATTTCCTCTATTCTTTGTACTTCTGACAGGTTCCATTTTTTTGTTTGAAAGATTCTATTTGCTATGCATTAATAGTTTCATGTTCGTAGTTTTATTATTATCTCATGGGTTTTGAATTTCTGTTATATTTCGGTTAAATACTTACTGAGTTAGATTTTACTTCATATTATGATATATGATAATTGATGATTCTCTTTCACATTATGTTTGATTTACGCAGTTAATAAATGAATTATATTTTTTTTCTGTTGGTATTATATAGTATATTTACACTTCTTTAACTGATTTATTGCAATCTGATGTTTTGCCTACATTTTCACGTGTAAATAACGTATTAGATCGTAATACCCTGCATTCCATTCTAACTGTAGAGTGGTAGTGAGAGGTTGTTTGTCGGGCCAGACGCCTGACCTGTGACCTGTGACCTGTGTAAGCGTTGCGTCGGCGCGCTTGCACAACAGACCTCGGACGGCGGCGCTCGGGAGGCTGATCTGAAGTCACTCGTAGATGAGAGACGAAGGAATCCGATAGACGAGGTTAGGTCAAACTTACCTTTCTATGCGGGTAGGGATACGGGTGACAAAGATGCGTGCACATCCTTAGAGGATTGGCTCTCACAGTGGGAGGAGATTACTAGTTCTGGTCGTTGGGATGACTCGGTAGTCAAGTTGGCCAGGGAGAGACTGCGGGGAGAGGCACTGGACTCTTGGAGATTATGGCGAAGGGATAACAGGATAGACAGTTGGGCATCCCCGGCTGATAGTCTAAGGCTAATGCATAGCCCTCTTCCCTGCGTACATCTGCTAGACGATCTCCAGCGACGATCGGCCGTTGCTCAGCCTCAGCAGGACGGAAGCTTTTCCGATGACAGGAAGAAGCATCTCCCAAGACGTTCCCGTGCTAATGAACTTGTATTGGAGGTCAGTGACGCGTTACGCCCGCCTTCTGGTTTGGCTTCGGTCCAACCGTTTCAACTTGGAGCGATGAGGCATTGTCGTTGTATCCCTTGCTGCGAAGCCGGCGCCTCTAAGTAAGACTTATGGGATCTACAGGTACACACGTCGATTTGCGTTTCTCAAAGCTCGCAGACGTAAAAGGGTCCTTGTTATCTTTCTTTCATAGGGTCTATGCAGCCGCGGCGGATCTCAGGGCTATTGACAGAAATTATGAGGTTCATATTGATAGATGGATTTCCTTTGTATCTGCCATGGAACTCCCAAAAGAGTTCTTGGCTACTGTAGGTGATTATCAGGTTAGACCAGATGCTTTGCTGTATAATGTAGCAGAAAACCTATATGGAAAGTTAGTTTACCGGGTGGTTGTTCCAAAGGACTTTCAGGAGGCTCCAGTGCGCTTGGCACACAACCCCCCAACGTCTGGTCATGGGGGGGGGGGGGGGGTATTAGCCACTTTGGTGCGATGAAAGAAGTTTTGCATTTTTCCCTGGCATGCGAAAGAAAGTGGAAACCTTGTGTCCTGGGAAGGGTGCTTGTCCACAAGTACCTGGACCGAATGGTCTTGGCAGGGGACCTTGCACATGTGAGAGTGGCCGGGACGCCCTCTTTTTAAAAGGGGGAGTAGTGTCGTGACAGAAATAGAACGAGAAAAAAGAGAAAAAGAAGATTGAAAAGAGACAAAGAGTACCTGTGTGGTGGCCTCAGCGAGTGTTCAGCCTCGTGACGTGTGGGCAGATCATCTCGAGAGACGGACCGAGCACGACGTGGACCAGAGTGAACATGGCATCTGTAGTCTTGTG